GTAAATGGTTTATTATTATTTCCATGTCTCTGGAAATGTATAAAATATCAGAATGTAATAGGCATATCAATTTTGCCTTCAGGGTCAATAGAACAGGGTAACTTGTTTATCATTGTAGGCATGACTGCATAACAAAAGAAAACAAAGATGAACTGGATTTTTCTTTTCCTGGCTTGCTAAGTCAGATGAAGAGTCTTGTTTAGCCCCCACCTCCAGCCAACCAGCCAGCCAGTCAGCCAGAAGCAGTGGCTTACTAGGGACTTTCAAAGTTTCCCAGCCAAACTTGAAGGCACCTTGCTGCTTTGAGTGCTAGGTTCCATTTAGCAGGGAAAGGTTGTAGGGATGAAGAGTTCCTTCTTTATGAATTTGACATTTCCCTTTTCAAAGCCACCGCATCTGGTATGAATCAGCAGATAAAGCATATGAACTGGGATTGTGTGTGAAAGTATTGATTCTATCACTTGAACATTTCTTGTGCAACCCCTATGAATTCAATGCTACAAAAAAGAAAAAGGAAAATACAGTATCTCCCTGGGTTGATCAGAAGCTACCTTAAAAAAAAGGAGCCATGTTTCCTACCATTTGAGCAGCTGATTCCGTCCCCCTCACTTTTGCCATCTGAGCGTTTTCCTCCACTTCAAGCACATCTTCTGGGGTGGGACCCATTTGCTTATTTCCTCTCTCCTATCAGAATAGTACTATGAGTTGTAAAAGATGCCCTTCTTCACCTTATATTACCTTTAGCGCCACTAGCCTGCAGGATAAGCTGTACATGTGTCTGCTTTTGTGTATAGAGTTGTTGCTTCATGGTTTTCTAATACCCTTTGAAATCAAAGCAATAAAAAATACAGTTTCAAAGGTGAAGGCTCCTCCTGCCACAAATTGATCTTTGTGAGATAGCTGGTGTAATGGTTTGCTCAGGTTGTATTGACTTGGAGTTTAAGGTTAATAAACATACAAAGAACAGATTTTGGTTTGTTTACCTTGCTAAATGCAAAGTGCAGTTTTGTCAGCAATAACCATACTGTCTCTTTGGTGTGGTAAGGAAGAGGTTTGTCAACAATTGTTGCAGAGTATGGTGTGAAAGCAGTGCAACAGACTTCCTAATGTAACATTTATTTCAGTCAGTGACCAGATAAAATAGAACATATATCAGGTACAAGGATGCCAGTCATGTGCTGTAATCAGTTGTTTGCATATATTCACAGCAGCTATACATAACTTTGCAACAGATCTTTAGTTTTTTCTCTCCTTGGAGTTTAGTTAGGCAGCATGCCTACTTTCTATCCAATTTTTTGGGGGAAAAACTCTAGTCCTACTTTTAGATAAGGAGAATCACCCTAATATGATGGTCCCATTCATCAGTGCTAGAAAATAAAATTATCTGACCTTCCTTATCCTTTCCACTTTTTTCATTTACAAAGCAGAGGCAACATCATTCACTGCCTGGCACTAGCTGGCCTCCCCTGTGCTGCCCTCTTCTTAATGTAGTGTTTTGGGTGGTATTCGCTGACCTCCACAAGGCTGCAAAAAGATGGCTCTGAGCCATCCAAACTGCTGTCCTTGAGCAGCCAGAAGGCAGTACTGTCAGAACTACTCCCTAAACTCCCTCATGATGCCACAGGAGAACCTTCAGTCTGCCAGTAATTCATACTCATGAATTCATGGCCTAGAAAGGTGACACGTGGATCATGGACACACATACTTTTAAAAGAGAAGGCCTGCTTGCAGACATGCCTTATCTGTGTAGCATATCATATTTACTTTGCTTTTGTTGTAACTGCTGCCTAATTAAAGAAACCTGACATGACAAATTGTATGGATTTTTGTGAAATCCACTTCATTTGAAGAAATGCCAATGTGTTCAGTGCAGACTTCTGAATAAATACAAATGAGTGCACATTTAATCACAACATTATAAAAACTGTACATGTTGCAAACTATAAAAAAAATTGAAAATAGTTTTTCTGTTTTTAATGGTGTAGCTTTGGATTATCCTATCTCCCAGACTTAAGATGCTCCCTCAAAAAAAGTACTGCTCTCTTTGGATTTTATAAGATTGGGAAGCATTGCAAGTCGTCTTCTGACTTCCTCTCGCCCCATAATCAGAGATGGGTCTTGACTAGAAAGTTGGACTTTTAAAACCTTAGTACCCTACTCATCATCGCCCCAGCAAAGTCTGTATTTTGGTGTCTGCAATGCCTATTTTTATTTTCCATGATTTTATTTCTACCGATTTAACCCCATGTGAATTTTTTTAGAAAAATATTTTTATTGTAACACTTAATCTTTCTTTTTTTTTAATGATTTTTTTTATTCTTATCCCTCCTACTGAAAGGATTTATAGAAGTAGGCTAAATACATTCAGCATTTTTAAAAATGAGAAAAATGCTGCCTAATTAATGAGAGAACTTTCAAAATCAAATGGAACTTTAGGCAATGATATATTTATACATTTTAAAATTGCTTATACAATTTTTTGGGTGGGATGACAGTAAATGTGACAGTAATTTTCTCAAAAATGAATGCTTTTTGTCTTTATTATCAAGGGTATCACTTAATGAGAGTCAGAACCATAATGAAACTAAATATGATTATGACTTGATAGCATCGATTTCTGAATCTTTTGAGAAAACCCCCAGATAGTTCCAACATATGTTCTTAAAATTCAGTGCTTTGGGAGGGGGAGGTAAGGAATACATTTTTCAAATCTACATAAATCTAGTTAAACCCCATTCCATTAACATTTTTTCTTCTAATTTCTAAACAGTGATATCCTTGTGTAGGGTATATTTTAAGGCTTTTTGAATCCCTTTAATAAACATTGAAAATAAGAATAATTATATTTCCAAACACAAAAAATATCTCTCTGTGTTTCAAGAATGATCCAAATGTTAGGATTCCATTGATGGTTTAATACTGATAGAACTTCAATAATTGTTTTGATAAAGTACCGATGCAACAAAAATCCCTTTGGATTGTTTAAACGGGTAATTCACCATTCTAGAAATCTGTAATATAGAATTTAACAAGAGGAAGATGTAATATAGAATTATTTCTTTAAATATAATGAAATGTTTTTTTTTAAAAAAAACTTAACAATTGGACTCCATTTATAAGTCCTGAAGCCCAGACATCCTGTCTAACAAAATGCAGTGTTATATTGTATCATTGCTTCCATGTTTCTTTCCTTATTTGAAGAAAATAACTTAATTGCTGTCCGTCACTGACATGCATTTTGTCACCATGCATTAGGCTGAGCTTCACAACATCAAAGGAATCGACTGTATTCATAACTAGAAGTAAAAGGATTGTAGAAATAGCAGGCCTTGTTAAAAAACAACAGCCACACAACTGAAGGAAAGTACAAAGGGCGTTGCACAAGAAAACATAAACACTACAATGGCCTTATAACATGAACTTTTTATATACATTTCCTTTTATTAAATTGACATTTTGAGTGCTCTAAGCAACACAGACTTTTGTGCATGATATGATATATGACCCAGGTAAAATGTGTTGTCAAGGAAATGGAGTAGAAGTAGAAATCAAGTGAAAAACATAGAGAATTATTGTATGAAAACAGATTGAGCAAAAATTGCTCCCTTGGGAGAGGTTGGAAAATAAGAATATAAACTTCTTGAGGAAGGGAAATCTGATCAATGCGCATTGTTCGTGATTATGTTCACTATTTCAAAAGCACATTTAAGATAATATAAGATGCATTAAATCTCTATTTACTTAGAATATTAATTAGCTATAAAGACTTTGTTTTGTTGTGATAGTTTTATATCAAGATTCATGCACCTACACTTTGCCTTAGTACTTCAGACCACCTTTGGGCTGGACAGGTATATATCCTAATAAATATTTAACTTTGCTGGTTGCTTGATGGAGAAGTCCTTGATGAATTTATATCTGGTACATTTCTGCTAGGGAGAGTCCTTTCCAACATGCCTTCTACTGTATAAATGGTGGAGCAAAAATTCAACAGATCTATAATTCTCTCTAAATCCTTCCTACATCTTCTTTCAGCAGCTTTAACCAGCATAGCCAGTAGCAGGAAATCTGAGAAAGGCAGCTTAACAACTTCCGAAAGGCCACAAGTTACATATCCATGCTCTGAAAGAAAGGGATACAAAATCATTTCTTCCTTGGAAACTGTTTATTAGAGAAGAGTAATATAGAAGAACTGTTTATTCTCTATCTGTTGGGAGGAAGGACTTAATTGCATAAAATTAAAATACCACATAAAGACACTGTGATTCTACTGGTAAAAGGGATAGATGCACTGTTTTCCGAAAACAGTTAGAAATTCTAAATCTATAGATAGCTTAAAAATCATTTTGTGGGTTACAACTGAAAAACACCTATCTTTAAAGTTTGTTGTACTAAATAAAATTTAAAGAAGAGAAAAATGTTAAAAACATGAAACTAAAATAAATAGTATTAATCTCACGGCAATATAATTGTTTTTAAAAATGAATAATAAAATGCTAAAAACCTGATCCATTTGACAGTACAGATACAGGAGCCTGGAAAATATTCAGTCCAGTTTATAATATTGCTGGACCTGGTAAAAAAAACTTGGATTTTTGTGATTGCTTTGATTCTTAAGAGTCAGTTCACTTATCAGAATTTCTAGTTTTCACATGTTGTGAAAACAGTTTCTGAGAGAAATGCTCCCTGCTCTTCCTTTTGGAATCTCTTGAGTCATCTGTCTCTCATGAAGTCTTCTGCAAAACTAAAGAGAAAGTATTAAGATATATCAGGTGGATGGGTCCTACGGATCAAAACACACAATTATTCTCACCATGCATGTGTGTGTAAAGGCAAAAAGATGGGAAAAGCACTTGGAAAAACTCAAGAAGGTTATAAGTGAAAGCCAATGATATCTGAAGCTCCATATCGTAATTACATGGTAAAGCAATGGAAACTTTCTTTTCAGTGTAACTAAGAATCTGCTTTTTACACCAATCTTTTTTCCCCCCTATTTGAAGGTTGTCAGCGTTGCATTGGCTTAAGCAATGGGAAAGCAAAAGTATGTAACTACAGTGGATGGTATTACTGCAACCTCTGTCACGTTGATGATACCTTTCTAATTCCTGCACGGCTAGTTCATAACTGGGACACTTCAAAATACAAGGTAAAGTAAATACATGCTAACAGTAGCACAAGTCCTTGCTCCCTGATTATAGTGTGGAATATGCACACATAGAATTGCCCAATAGGAAAACATTATGTCTGTCAATCAATCAGTATTTTGTGACCACATGTTGTTATGTTATATAAAACTATGGAAAAAAAGGAAATTAATAATTTAAGAGGGAGGAGAAAAATATCAACAAATAAAAAGGCATGCAGGGAGTCAGGTTAAAATGGAACCAGTATTAAAATTGAGAGCTTAACCATTTCTTTGAGTTTAATATTGCAAAGGTAGCATCCTGACTACTAATAGTTGTAATCACATCTGCAAGGAGGTAGAATAGTTGTTGAGCTATTGATGCTCACGTTGCAAGGTCCAAGAGGGAGGAAATATAACTGCATGATAGAAACAGGAGTTTGTCTCATTCATTTCCCCTCATGTAAAGCAAATAAAACAGTTTTACTAAGTGAGAATCTTGGAGGCTTTTTAATTTCCAATACCTTACCAGTGCCAGGTGAATTCTAATGAAGATTGACGGTAACTCCATTTCTATCCTAGTTGAAAGCGGAAGCAAAATGCAAAGGCTAAAACAATTCTGCATAGGTGAACGCCCCGAAGCACACAGGGCTCATAGTCTCCAGTAGAAAGCTTCAGTTGCCCGCTTCAACGAATGTTAGAATCCCAATTAGCATGCATCCCATGCAACTACTGTAGTATCCATGCAGCTGGGCCATAGTTTTGGTTGTTATGGTTGTTAACCTGAGAAGATCCAAAGGTGGCAGCAAAACCTTTGTTTATGTTGTGGTCAGCCAAACTGTGGTCCTCAAAAGGGCTCTAAAAAGTTGTGCAAAGGACAGCTGGCAGGAAACTGGACACCTCTTGCCAATCTGGGCACCGAGTTTGGGGGCAAAGTAGAAGAACCGAAACCATTCATTAGCTTATCCGCCTGTAGAGAATAAGGCGAGAGTGACAGAGATACAGAGGAACCATAACCTGGACAAAAGGGGCTGAAACATTTTTTAAGTCCAGGCCAACAACACACAGATTTCAGAAATAGTTCGGGCAGAACGCTCGCTAATCCACTAAAGTATAAGAAAAAGGTTTTCTGTTAACAGTTATGTAAGAGAGCCAGTGTGTTGGATTAAGAGCCAGGAGGTCCTGGTTCTGGTTCATAGAACTGTAGTTACTCTTTAAGCCAATCAGGCACTCTAAGCCCAACCTACTTTCGCAGATTGTTCTTATGGGAAAAAGTAGGAGAGAAAACTATGTGTGTGTTGCCTTGAGCTCCTGAATGAAAGGCAAAATATAAATCTAACAAATACAGAATTTGCCTCCGATTCGGAATCTGGCTTCAAGCCATGATTCTGGCATCTAACTTTCAAGCATTTATCCTAATATAGCTTAGTATGATTATTCCTATATTATAGTTTTAGCTTTTTGAATTAGATATGGTGATATAAAAGTGTAGTAATAAAAGAATAAATACATTATTTAAATATTTAAAGCATTTTAATATTAAGTGCTACTTAATGTTATAAAGAAAGGGGAACAGAAGACATTAAGCAAACCGAGATATTTGTGTTCTTGAATATCTTACGGGTTTTGGCAAGATCTTAGATATGTGCATCCAAAAAGCAAACCAAAAATATCAAAAGTAACAAATTTCACTAAACTCTCATTGCTATTGCAAATACTATCAACTTTTGTAATGGTGTATTTCTCTAAACTATTGTTTGAATGGTCAGTTTCACCATCTAGCTGTGAAAAATATTGTAGACTTCAGTTCTGGATTACAGGAGTAAAGAATCATGAAAATGTAGGAAGTGGGTTAAAATATAAAACGAAACAGTAGTGATTTTGGTTTAAAAGAGAAAAAAAATCTGTCTTATTGTATCAGACTAATTCCCTGTGTTATTAAAATGCAAGCCTAAGAATAACACTGAAAATCCCTAGCTTGTTTTTAAAAGTAAGGAAATGTAGGGAGACATTCCTTATTCTTCATTTTTGCTTATTATCTTTTGTGGGCAGGTGAAGCTATGTTTACAAGATTGTAGGCATTCATCTTAATACTAAAATAATAATGGTCTTCATCAGAGCTGAAGTTGTTTAAAATATATGTTTATGGCTGAAGAATTCTCTGTTCTCCCACTATCACCTTCATCCTCACAATTTATTTCTAAAAATGAATGGGAATTCAGAGAGGAGAGTATTATTCTTCAACTTTTCTTAATTAAATAAAAACAAGATGTAACCTAGCAAGAGAAAATACTGTATATGGCAGCAGCTTTTTGCTACTTACATGCTATATCTAATCTTTGCCAGTGAGTTTATATTAAGTACCACAGACCCTGATAGGTGTAAATTAATTTAATACCTATGTAGTTAGTATAACTTCTGGAACATTCCGCTAACAAAATTTTGCTTCTTTGAAATGTTTAACACCAGAATTTAGTTTATATCTATATTATAGCATCTTCTGGGTGCTTTTTTAATAAATAAGCTTACATTATGTCTTATCATAACACAAATAACACTAGCATAATGTCACTAAAAGAGAGGTGTACTGATTGCCTGTGAGCAGTTAAAGATTTATTAGAAGCCAAGCTTCATGGATTATCCCCTTTTAGGTATCAAAGCAAGCCAAAGAATTCCTGGAATATGTTTATGAAGAGCCCCTGATTGACATTCAGCGAGAAAATCCCATATTGTACAGACACGTTGAGCCATTGGCAAGTGTGGCCCGTCTGAGACAGCAACTGAAATCCCTCCGAGCCTATTTATTCAGCTGCAGAGCAGCAGTGGCCGAAGACCTGCGAAGGAGGTAAGACAGAAGAACAGTTAAGAACTGGCTTCCTTGAGGCCATCTTCCTTTCCTTGGCCATCTTCCACTTCCTTTCTTTAGTTCCCATGACCCAGCAATTAAAGTATAGCCCATTGTGTCTGCCTCTGAAGGGTAACTGGATATTTTCAGTGCAACTGGATGGTTCAGTGCCCAAAGGGATCTCTGATTCATCAGTCCTTCACTTAGGGATGTTAGGAACAGAATGCCTAAGCAAACAATGTCATGGAATAAATTTATTTAAAGATTTATATGTATAGCAAAATACAGTTGCATATCATCGCATTCCAACTATATAGATTATACAACTGCAGCACTTGAAAAGCTGATCTATTCACTTTTAGAGTAATATACTAACTAATTCAATACTGGTATCACGATCCTGCTGCTTGAGAATTTTCTACACTGAAAATGAAATGCCAGAGTAGATAGAGGTCCCTGAATAAAAGCAAATTAAAGTTACATACTGAGTCCAGGATTCTTATGATTGTGAGTAAAGCTGGATTTAATCATCATTGAAACAAAACAAAACAAAAAAAATCAGCTTTTTTGGCATCCTAAACAAATATGATGAAAGTTCTGGGCTTGGAAACATTTTTCTCCATTTCTTCTGTCACCCTCTCATCTGTCACTTTAACTTTAACAACAGCTTCAGCTAAAGGAAGGAGTGAAGCCGGATCTGCTTTTGAAATGATGAGGTGCCTCCCTTGTAGGCAGGACATGGTTTCCAATCTCTGAAAATACAAGAGAGTGAGAATGGGATTTCCTCTGCCCCCAGGGGTCTATAGAAACTACTGAGCCCCAAATGCTCCCCATTTTCTGGCCTGGGATCTGTTGGAGGAATGACAGCAGGATAAAATAGGGAGAGTCTGGTCTTTCACCATCATCATCATTGTGGTGGGTGATAGGAGCCGTGGTGGCACAGTGGTTAGAATGCAGTATTGCAGGCTGACTCTGCCAACTGCCAGCAGTTTGATCCTGACTGGCTCAAAGTCAACTCAGCTTTCCATCCTTCCGAGGTTGGTAAAATGAGGGCCCAGATTGTTGAGGGGCAATATGCTGACATTGTAAACCACTTAGAGAGGGCTGTAAAGCACTATGGAGCAGTATATAAGTCTAAGTGCTCTTGTTGTTGCTATCATCCATGTCCCCATTATTCTGAGCTTTGGTGGAAAAGGTATGTGTGCGTGCGCACAAGCATTTTTGCTTTGGCATCTTCATCCATATAATCAAAAGGAGATTATCTTGGCTGTTTAGAAGATAACCTTGGTTGATGTCATGATTAATAATGTCAAATACCAGTAAAAACATTAATGTTACTGAAGTGCCTAAACTTAGTAGCCACATTCCTATTATAGGCATTTGCATTATCTCTGTTTGGGACTGTGAAACAAAGGAAGTTGAAAATCTCTGCAGTTGAAGAAGGTACATGAGATATTTTCTTAATATCATGTAAGAATTACCTTCCTTTTTTCTATCTTACTTTTTAAAGACTTCCTTCATTTGTAATACTGGCTATAATATCTCCTTCAATTAATATGAGATTGAGGGCTGGATGCTTTATGGGAGATTCAGTTCAGAAAAAGCATCAGAGAAAGAGATTACAAGCTTTTGATTAACAGCAAAGCAAAAAAAAAAGTGTTTGATTAAAATAAAGAGGCAGGGAGGGCCAAGGCAAGTCAGTGAAGAGAACAGAAAAAAGAGATCAAAGGAAGCAGAGAGTGAAAAGCAACTGGGCTAGAGGACATGGGGCAAAGGAGGGGGGGGAATGAGGAGACTAGCAGAGGCATGAAGAGCCAGTGTTGATGGAAAAAGGTGATGGAAAAGGATACAGAGGAAGCTATGAAGAGGCATTCAGGGTAGCACAGGAACAAAAGCAAACCTGAGAAAATAGGAACCCTTGCAAGAGACCAAGACAGAGACAAAGGGGGATTAGAAACTAAAGCAGTTGAGTGGGCATGGTGTAGAAAATGGAGAGGATAAAGTTAGGACGTAGGTTGGAAATAATGCCGAAAGCTAACATGTTGAATTATTATCAAACTTGGTAAAAAGTTACATTAAGCTTATCATTTGGGGGAAAGGTGTTAACATAGGAGTGTACATCTGCAGAAGGTAATTGAAGAGGTAACAATGAAGATGAAAAAAAAATCTTATTGTAGACTAAATAATGTCTATAAAAGACTTATGTTTGAGCAACAGTACAAAGTTTAATTTTCTCTCTTAATAAACTGTAACTAACCTTGGACTTAAAAAGCCATCTGGGTTGGTATACGGTACTACCTGATTTGAACCTTATAACAAATCAGCATGAGTGCCACCTGAACTCCTGCTCTTTCATTCACACTGTAATCTCCAGACAAATGATAATCAGTTTCCTTTCTCCCTCCTTCCTGATGGCATGTGTCTGCTTGTCTTTCTGTCTGTCCATCCTAGGGTTTTTTTGCACCACTCTAGTTTTTGTTTTGCAAAAAAAAAAGAACAGCTAGCAATTATTGATTACGGTATATTTCATAGTTTTCAAATTGAAACATATTTACTATTTATTGAAAAATTAAGCTAAATTTCCTTAAAATTCTTTACTTGTTGCTGCTTGTTCTTAATTAGATATGTGAATTTCCAGCTATTCTGAAAACATTGTCATTATGTTAGAGTTAGACTTTCATAAAGCAAAATGTAGTAAACTATGAACAATGCACTGCAAGGAGGACTGAACACAGGGTGATTAATGTTAAAGGAAGTCTGCTATGGTAAAGAATTAGCTGTTGCTTTTCATCCGTGCTTCTGTTTGAAAACATACAAGATATTTCCAAAAGCATGGCAAAATGGGTTCCCTGCGTTATACTAACATTCCTGGTTCTTGGAATTTTATTTGTACGTGCATATGTGTGTATGAGGGGTCCTTGGTGGTCTCTCTGCTTGGTTGTTGATGATATAACCCAGTTTGGTTAAAGAAACATCTGCAAGAAAACAACCACGTTCATTTCAGCCCTGAGCTACAAATATTCTCCTTTATTGATAGATGTATATAAAAAATAATTCCATCAGCTAATATATAGCTGACACAGATCTATGGACAAAATATTAATTGATACAAAATTGATTCTAAGCTTCACAGACTATCAAGAGAAACTCTCACGGAAGTTGTTGGTTTGAGGAAAAGTAGAATATCATAAATTACACATTCATGTGCCAAGACATATTTCTGTCACCTAACATATAGACTGAAGGTGTAAACATATCTGAGGGTATATCTCTTAGAACAAAAATGCACCTTTGACAAAAAGATTTTTCTTAAACTCCAGATACTCATTTGTTACCTTTTTTTGTACCAGATTCCTGGTGATTGCCTGGACAAGTCGATGCAATATTCTTGCAGCATTTTTCAGAAGTGACTTTTCATTGACTTCTTATTACTAAAAAAGAGCAACTTCAGCCTCTCCCAGTTTTTTACCTACTGCCTTTAACTACTATACCAAAATGGTTATTTAACTTATCATAGTGGATGTTTAATTAAATAACTAAATAATTAGAATATAGATGGCATATTGAGAATCAAAAGTAAAGGTAAAGGTTTAGATAGTTTTGGGCTGATCCAGAACCTGAAGTCTAAAGGAATCGATTTCTATCACTGAAAGTCTAGATTCAGCTTAACAGTCCTGATATAACTCCCATTAGCACCATTGGTCAACAGTTATGTTGTATCCTGTAAAAGCCAATCTGTAGATCCTGATGTATACATCTTTCTCTTCGTCAGAGCCATTTTACTGGGATGTATGGTATCATATGACCAATAGTGGTACAAATGGACATACAGTAAGTTTGTTCTGTCACTATTTCCTCAAGAAAAATAGGTTCAACATAGAAATAATTTTAATCAAACAAAGTTATATTATTCAGGGCTAAGGGCAGATTTGTGCTCCAGGGCTTAGAAATGTTATTTACGTTCATGCTATTAAATCCTTCAAGTCATCCTGACAGTTGCTAAAGCATCCTGTAGATGACTTTTTAATAAAAAAAAAACCTTTTCCCAGTAATTTAAATGCTAGAAGAATTAGTTGAAGATAGTCCTCAACTTACGAATGGTTATGATCAATCTAAAAAAGGGGACCTATGACCTGGATTTTAAATTTCAACTGTTGGGCCCCTTCATGGTCCTGTGGTCAAACTTTGAGGACTCAGCAACAAGGCTGTATTTACAGCTATTTGCAGTATCGCAGTCACATCATCATGTTTTACCACAGTTTTGCGAAAAACTGGCACTTCTGGTTTTCAGCAAAACTGTGTCCATAGCAAACCATTGGTTTGCTTAACGAACACGGTGTTAGTGATTGCTGCAAAAAAAGGTCATAAAGTCGTTTTGTGACCGTTATGACATACTATCGTACTGGGCAAACAAACTCCTTTGCAGTTGTATCTCAAGGAATATTTGTAATGTATGAGAGTACAAACAGTGGGGTAACTGGATAGATTGCTCCTATCACTTTTTACTTGCACAAAAGAGTATTGAACATTGGAAGTAAAGCTGGAGGTCTGCTTCTTTGGCCTTGTTACCTAGCAGTGTTGAAATTCTGGGACATGAATGGCATAGAAACCCACAGGAACAAATCTTGTGTGGGTTTCATCAGTCCTGCAGCTCTGGCTGCCGTGATCAGAGCTGTAGATGTTTCCCATCTCACTATGTGCGTAACTTTTTATATGACAATGGAATTCATTCATAGGATAATTGTTGCAATCTCAGTATATTAAAGGATATTTAATCAAACAGCATTTTTATAGACTATTTTTCAGGGGAGGAGGAGTAATTTATAAGCTTGGAATGTCTGAGTTCACTGGATCTCAGTAGAATGCAGAAAGTTCCTTTTGCTTTATGAAAGGTTATTGAGAAATAATACAGTATTTCATACAAAATGAGATGGTAGTTATTTTTAATATAAACCAAAATAAATTACCTCCAAACCTGAGGTTTGTAGTTATAATAGAAG